CTGTCTGCCTAGCCATGGGGCCAGGCCTCCAAGGCGGATTGGAACCCTCCCCACCTCAGGGTTATACCTGCTGCCCCCTCCCCTCCGCCAGATTTCTGCCAAGGGCGGGCAAAAAATAGCAAAAAGAAGAGAAAAAAAAAAAAAAAACAGAACCACCTCTACATATTATGGAGAGAAAATATTTTTGTGGATTCTTATTCTTTTATAATTATGCCTGTAAGAAGCAGACTCATTAAAGGGCCCCAGACGGAGGCCTGCTGCTCCTTCTAAGCCTGGGGCCCCTGGGAGGGGAGGGGAGGAGGGGAGGCCAGGGACCCAGGAGGGGCCACCCCTGGCCTCAGCCTGCCCCGGCTCATGGGGGAGGTCTCCAGACGCGAACCAGGAACCTTCCCAAGTGGTCAGCCTTGCAGACTGTGGCTTTTTACCACAGGACTCACCAGAGACCCAGAGAGGGACTGCGCCTGCCACCCTTCATTGTACACCCGGCCACACGCAGGGCACCTCGCCACCGAGGGAGGACCGTGCCCCGCGAGCAGGGCTGTTCCCGAGTGTCCTCCCTGGCACAGGCCGGTCGCTTTGCTTGAGTCAATCAGGAACAAGCAGCTGGGGCTCCGTCCCTGGAGGAGAGCACACGCCCGCACCAGCGCCCAGGAGCACAGCCGGTCGGCAGCACACTGCCGGCAGCGACCTCGGTGACAGGCTGGGGCCGTTCGGCGGAGCTCGTGGGACCTCACCTTGGGCCCAGCTGTCAGACCGAAGGGGCAGGGCTGCAGCCACCAGCTGACGGCCGTGCCTTCTTACTATAGGGCGCGTGCCCCAGGCCGGGTGGCCGCCACAGCCCGGTTCTGTTCTCGCCTTGGGGTTTGGACACATGCGCGCCCCCAGCGTGTTTTCTTTTTTCTTCTTATTTTTGTTTAATTTGATGAGAGAGACGGAGAAAGTAAGAGAGCAAGCTGCCAGGTCTGAGACTTGAACGTGGTCGGCCACATGGGAGTCCAGCGCCTTCACCACCACCCACCTGCCGTTCTCCCCGCCCCAGCGTGCTTTTAAAGCCACCAGCTGCAGGATCTGAACAGCACCGTTGGCTGTGTAGGATCCAGCCCTTAACCACCAAGCCTCTGGCTGGCCCCTGTAGCTAACACCTGTACATCCAGCCAGCAGTTACAAGGAGGAAGATGTTTCTGCTTTTTCTTTTTTTTAAGGATTATTTCATTTTATTTATTCATAATTTGACCAGAGAGAGAGGAAAAGTGAGAAAGCAAGCTACGAGGTCCGGGACTCAAACCACAGTTGACCATGAGGGCGTATCCAGCGCCTTAACCACCACGCCACCTGCTGGTCACCCCTTGCTTCTCTTATTAATTTCCATAGGGGATGTGCACTCACCAGAAGCAGAGAGGGCCAGCAGAGGGTGTGGTGGTGGTTGAGGCACTGGATTCCTACATGGTCGACCATGGTTCGAGTCCTGGACCTGGTGGCTTGCTTTCTCACTTTTCCTCTCTTTCTTGGTCTCTCTCTGACCAAACTGGAAAATAATCATATTAATAAATAAAGTTAAATATTTATTTTTTAAAAAATGAGGGACCAGCAGATAGTGTAAGGGTTACATCACTGGACTCCCACATAGCCAACAGTGGTTTGAGTCCCAGACCCAGTGGCTTAAAACTCGCACTGGACATGCAAATGTGCATGCCCAAACTCCCAAGTGGAGAAGGGAGAAGGGACTGGGGTACGACTCCCCCTGGGGGGTGAGTTCTCCATTTGTTTCTCTGTCTCTCTCTGGTAAGTGCACACGCCCTATAGCAAAAACCTCTCCAGACAAAAAAATATTGCCAAAAATTTATTCTAAGCTAGGTAGATTATTCTAAGCTATTAGGACTGCAGTCCTCACGCAGCTGGGTGGATGTGGGTCTTCCAGACCTATGACAGGTTTCAAGGCAAAAACCAGAGTTGCGAGGGGACAGTTGTCCTTGGCTACCTGGACAGGAAGGGTGGCATCAGTCCAGGCTGGACAGGCAGTCTCGGGGCAGACAGCCTTGCAGGAGTCCTCCATCGGCTGCAGTGGCCCTTGTGCAAGGTAACGCCCCTGGCAGAGTTTCGGTAACAGCCACGCCCGCTGAGAAGGCACTTCCTCCCAGGCCTGCCCAACTCCGTGTAGTCAGGATGGACATGACTCCTTTAGATTTTGGACTTTTTTATTTGTTTTAATTTGACCAGAGAAGGACAAAGCAAGCAAGAGAGGGAGAAGGTGAGAAAGCAAGCGGCCCGGTCCGGGACTTGAACTGTGGTCAGCCATGTGGGAGTCCGGCGCCCCTAGCCACCCTGCCACCTGCTGGCCCCCGATTTTGAACTTTTTACACTACTCAGGAAGGACTAAGCACACCAGCTTAATTATTCTCAACCCCCCGCCCCCCACGTCCCACTTTTTGGGGCCAGACCCATGGAACACTGTTTTGCCAAATTCCAAACCTCGACCCTCACTCGCAGAATGAAATCAGAGGAGCCCCGAACCTGATCGCCCTCTTCCCAGGCCAGGGCACACACGCGTGCGCACAAGCGACCCGCACTGTCACTGGTGCAGAGTGGGTTATTTCCTCGTGGCTAGGGGCATCTCGGGGGGCAGCTGGAGGCCCTGCAGACGCCCTGGCTCACCCCACTTCCCACCGCGGACGAGCACCCTCCCTATTCCCCTCGTTCCTGCTCCCGTACGAACCTGAGACCTGCGGGCCAGTCGCATGGCCGGTTAAAGAAGGGACGAGGCGACCCCAGCCCAGGGAACGACCCTCCGGGCTTCCCCTGCCCCTAACCCTCATCCTGCGGGGATCCCAAGCGCCGGGCCCCTGGGGCGGGGCCACATCGCAAACCCCGCCCCCAAGATGGCGGCTGGCAGGCGGGAAGGGGCGTGGTGAGGCCAGTCACGTGGCCCGGGCGCCGACGTGGCCTCCCGCGGCCGCCCCACGTGTCCCTCGCCG